TTAAAGATGATTAAACTTGCTTTCTACCACTTGCATTCTCACATTTCCTGCACTATTTCTGAACAAGACTTATAGAAATGTAACCAGTGCTTGATCTCTTGACAGAGAATGCAGTGGTAGAAATATAACTTAACAGCTTTTATTGTGTATGGTAGGGTTATTGCCTTTATAACCTTTGGAGCACGCGGTAATGTTTGTGTGAAGCTGAAAAACAGCTTTAGAACCAGTTTGTGTGCTTCCAGTCTGAGCTAATATGGTAATGCAGATAATTATACCAAGTTTGGGCATTTTTCATTGGCTTGAGAGTGTCAGCTGACAGCTCACAATCCACGAATTGGCAAGATAATGCAGCTGTATGAACAACCTGGCAGAAATAGATAAGTGTCAAACTTCTCTTAAACAACTTAACAGTTTTCTGTTAAATCGTGCCAGGGAACTAATGGCACCATAACTATGCCAGCATGCTGCGGTGGTTATGGTGTTTACAATGTCCCTATAACAAACTTAAGGTTTCAAATTATTTATTAATTCATGTACAAAACATTAAAAAAAATATATATATATAAAATTGAGCATGCAAAATATATTTTTTTGGGATCATTGGTTAATTTTGCACAACAACATATATAACGCAGCCAGTGTGTTAAAATGGTGTATTGTTATTCTGGGAGGTGATTGGACCCTACTTGATACTTGAGAACATTTATTTACTGTACCAGTAACTGAAGTCCCATTTTATACTCTATTTTTTACCTTTTCAGTACAATACCACTTCTCTATGATCTTAATCTACAGATAACTTACTGAAGGTAGAACCTCCTGCAGTAGGCAAAATAGACCGTTATAATCTGGGAGCTGGCCTCCTCGCTCTTTCACTGTCAGGCACAGATCACGTAGTACCTTCTGCAGAGCTTCCAACTTGTACTAGAAGGTAAAGGGTGTTCAATTATTCATTGGCTAAATGTGCACTGGATGAAACACTCTCAATTAACATCCCCATTTCCCCCACCACCAAAAACTGAGACTTCTGTTACCTTGAGTTGTTCTTTGTATTCCATTCTCCACAATGGTGTACACACGTCAGAGAGTCTGCAATAAAAACATCCAATGAAGAGCTTTTAGCAAAACTGCTGCGAACAGAAAGATTCCATATTATTTTGCTAAAAGATGTAATGTTATACATCAGAGATATAAGAGCTGTAAATATGGTGGTTGCAGTGGGTGGGTGCACATCTGTTTGCTTTGATGCAGACTGCAGAATCCCTAACTAAAACCAAGAATAAAACACATTGGCTTTTAGAACGTTTCTCACTATTTCTTGGTACCTTTCTTCCCAGGAGGCAGCAGGGCTATGGTTGATAAGTTTCTTCTTGTTCTTTTTGTGGACTCCTCGCAATACCGTCTGAGTTATCATTCGAGTCACACACCATGAAAGGCCCGACCTGCAGCATGGCACACACCTCCATGACATCAAAAGGGGTGTCATCCTGTGAAAATTAAAAAAAAAAATGTCTCCAGTGAAGCCTACTTGGTTTTCAAACTGAGCACCAGCTGGGTGAGAGGCCATATTTTTTAAATCTTTTTTTCTTAAAAGCAATACATTTGCTATTAGGAAGGGCTGTTGCTCATTGGATATTTGCATGCCTCTGATTATCCCTCCAGGGATTCAAAAAGGAGGTGTGTTAGGATGTTTTTGGTCACAGTACTGCTAGAGTGAGGTATCAGGTAGGATTTGTGCAGGGCCTTTGCTAGATCAGCATTGTGTGGGTTTGTGCATGGACTGGTCGATAAAAACTCAATGTTCTCCAGACCTGGACTGATCCACTCTGACCAGGCCATCAGTAGAGATGTCGCGAACCGTTCGTGAACTTCCCGCGGCGAGTTCGCGAACTTCCCAATCTCCAGCAGACCCTCCCTCCCACCTCTTGGACAGCATCCATGTTGAAGCTGCCTTCAACATGGATGCTGTCCAGGAGGTGGGAGAGTCTGGGAGGGAGGGTCTGCTGGAGATTGGCCGGGAATCGCGGCGAGCCGTTCGCGGGAAGTTCGCGAACGGGTCGCGACATCACTAGCCATCAGACTATGATGAGTATGCATGATATCAATGGAGCAAGGTGCTCATATCCACCATGTTTTCAGGGACATTTATAATTTTGTCAGATTTATGAAAAAGCATGAAGAGTGTTACCCTGCGGTATGAATTATGCATATTGTGCAGGGTTCTTCATTATCTAACTGCATAATCTTATACACTTTCTCAATTCTACATACTACAGGGCAACACTTTTCATGTGCCGCCCATCAATATGTGTATGCGATATGTGTCCCCGAAGGCATTTGCAAGTGACTGCGGGGTGAGTTGATGTTCATTACATACATAACACGTCAGTTGTTATTGGAGGCAATGGAGTCTGCATATCTTAGACATGCAGAGATGTCTGTGAATGTCCTACAGGCCACATAGGTCATACAGATGGATGTGGCAGAGATAGAAGGTGCCATATTTCACAACTCCAGCAGCATCCATCTGTCAAACCCACATATTGCAGGTTCTGGGCAAAAAGGTAACATCTGCACTGAGATCTGTGAGCTTAGTTAACAAAAAATAAAAAGCCATTTAGTTGTACTTGCCCCAGGCCAAAAGTTATCTAATTTGCTAGAATGTCTGTTTGCACAATATATAGAAGATTAGCATTAGTCTATAATTTAATATAACGTATCCTCTGCCATGACACTTTACTATATAGCTTGGTGTATGTTTTGTTACAGGATCTCAGGTATACACTTCACTACAGTGGGCTGTAGTGGTTACGGTGCTTGGAATTTTCCTTTAATTCTTTTTAGCTAGACCTAAAACACGTTATAGTTAAAAGAAACCTATAGTGTCAGAAATACAAGCATATATTCCTGACACTATAGTCCTGACGTGGCTGTTTAGGGGTCCGGCCCCCCTCGGATTTTAATAAAAAGGTGATTTTACTCACCTATTGTTCCCAAGCCGTGCAGTTCTTGCCGTGGCTTCCCTTGCCTCCATGGCTGAGATCATGAATCTTGATGATCTCAGCCAATCCAATAGGAAAGCATTGGAAGGCTATTGTGCATGCACAGATTAACGCTGTAATGCACCAATCCACATCTCTCCATAGAGATGCATTGAATCAATGCAGCTCTAAAAGGAACGTCCATGCAGAGCGTGGTGAGGTGGTGAAGCACCTCTGTTGGCTGTCTGAGTGAGTGCCACTAGAGGTGTTATTAGTCAGCAAAGTAAGCACTGCACTTACAGTATTAACATTGCAAGGACATGCTAGAGACACCAGAACAACTCCATTAAGCTGTAGTTGTTCTGGCGATTACTGTGTCTCTTTATTCTTATTAACTATATAAACCCATACTACAGAAAAAGTAATGCCTTGTGTCTTTCCTTTCTGTCTTTATATTCTCTTGCTGCAGAAGATACTGACAAAAACAATTCTGGTCAATCAGTACATTCATAGGGCAATTCAATAAAGTGAGAATTGATATTCTCTTTGAATTCACTATGCATTACCAGCAATTCTCACCATAGTGAATAGCCCTGTTAGTTAATGTGTTACAATACCACCCAGCGAGGAAAGTGCAAAGTCATTTTGTATATTAAATTATGTGTGTATAAGTATGTGTTCCATTGTATATTATTGTATACCCTGAGATTACCTTATCGTCCTGTAACTACAGGCACTCAGGCTCTGGTAGCTGCAACTTCCTAGCCATGTGAAGTCCCTGTGGTCACGTGACTGTGGAGGTCACATGATACACATTGGTACAGGAAATAGACAGCGGTAGACTCAAATCAAGCTGCCCGAATTCAATAGGAATGTACTGTGTCTCGGCTGTCACTGCATATTGTAGGGTCACTGACAGCACAGGACAGGGTCGTTTGTCTGCCTGCATAGGCAGGATTATGAAGAATTACTGGTTTCAGGAGGTGGGATTGCACCAATGAAAGATCAGAATGTAACTTTTTTACCCCAGATAGCCTAGACTGCAAGGGAAAGTGATAATATTTTATTTATAAGAAAATCAAAAGTTAAATAAATTTTAGCATGTCATTGTTTCTATTCAAAGAAAAATCCTAAACAGTTATTGCATTTTTAGGAATACACCGAATTACAGAGTGCAGTAGTGGTTATGGTACCTGTTAATTTATTGGTTTATCACTTTAGGACTGGGCAATCCCAGGGAGGTTAGTAACTTGGCAGTATTGTGGATAAGATAATATAGTTTATAGTGACAGCTGGCTAGGAAGACACATCACTCAAAGGACCACTATAGACACCCAGACCACTTCAGCTTAATGAAGTGGTCTGGGTGCCAGGTCCAGCTTTGATGATCCCTTTCTTCTATAAACATAGCACTTTCAGAGAAACTGCTATGTTTATAATAGGATTAATCCAGCCTCTAGTGGCTGCCTCAATGGCAGCTGCTAGAGGCGCATCCGCGCTTCTCACTGTGATTTTCAGGAGGACACTCCATTAATTTTCTAGATTGTAAGCCACATACAGTTTGTGCTGTGCTTTCATGAGACCTTGGTCGGCCGGTCTCTGTGTTAGTGGGGGCATTTGGATATCTATAAGGGTTATCTATAGTTGAGGTGTCCGGTTTCTATTTTGGACCCCTCTGGGGGTTACTCTTCTCCCTTTGTTTTTCCCTATATGCTCTTCTCTGTCCTTTCAATTTCTTACTGTTCTATGATATGGCCCTTTATACCTATTATAGATTATTTAGATAAGGTTTGCTTATCTTGGGGGACTTTTTATCCATTTTTTGCCCTCTGGTTTATCTATTGAAGCACATCACACTTCTGTTTTTGGCACCTACTGATTATCTGCAAGTTGTGGTTTCTGCAGATCGTATAATACTGTTAAAATGTAACATTTATTCACTGACATCAATGCTGAAATCAGCTAGCATAGCTCCACTAGCAAGTGGAACAAGGTGGTGTTTCCATCAACAGATGATGTAGCAATAAGATGTGACAAAGATGTAAAAGCAGAATTAAAATAAAATAAACATACTCAATGTCTTCTCCGTTTTTAGTATTATCCCCTTAAGGACACAGCTTAAGAAGTATGAGGCCAGCATGACAGAAAATGTCCATCATGTGTCCTTAAGGGGTTTTTAATGACTGAGATGTTCATACTGTAAGTTGTGCCAATATATTTCCTTTGAGGTTATTCCCCAATGATGATAGGAATTTGTCCTACTAAATTTTAAAAAAAATAAATAAAAAATTATTTGTGCTTAGATATGACTATTAAGGCTTGCCTTGCCACAACAGCTAGGGCAAACATTTAAAGACATGGAAAGATAGTTGTATGGCACGTGATAATACTGCACATTATTATGTGCAGTAAAACATTGTAGGACAAGAGAAATAAGCTAAGCCTACAGTTGCTAAATTCAGGGCCGTCTTTAGTAATGATTGGACCCTGGGCAAGCATTTGCTAGGGCCCCCATAGACTGTGCCCCCCCACTCCCTTACATGCAATCACACCCTCCACCCCAACGCACTAGCGGAACTAAAGTATAAAGATCCCTGGTGCAAGAATTTTATTTGGCCCTCAATTGCAAGGTTGGACAAAAAGGTAGAACCTTATCTGTCGTGCAACTCCAACAATGCATTGACGGGTGAGGTTCTACCAATTTTCCATGCTTGCATGGTTGTATTTTGCACTGTTTGAATGTAAGCATGTTTTTGTATGAAGTACGTCTGTCTCAATGTGTTTGTATGTGGTGTTGGAGTTTGGATGTAATTTATGTGTAGTGTTTTTTGAATGTGTGTTTATATATAGTTTTGGTGCTCAGACACACTGACACATATGCAAATACACAGATACACACATTGACTACTTACAGATATACAGACACATACAGATACACAGACATGTAAACTGACTGACATACTGACACACACACACATACACTGACAGACGTACTGACACAAACAGGCACATACACTGACAGATATAGATACAAACACTGAGACATACTGACACTCACAGACAGGCATACTGACACAAACACACACATACAACTCCTTGGTTTTGCACCCCTCCCTGTCACAGGTGCCTCATTCCAGGGCCCTATTTAGCCTTGTACTGCAGAGAGCCCCAGATGGATTTTTTTCCCCAAGTAAGTGGGTTAATCTCACAAGAGCGGACATTAGGCTGTTAGAGTAAGACCTGTCAAAGATGGGGTACATTGACGTTGTGGCAGGCTTATTCAATGTATGATCATATAATGTAACTAAACCTCCATTATTTTTGGCTAGATTAGGTGTTTTTAAAAAAAAAAAAAAAAAAAAAACAATTTTAAAACAAAAATGATTAATATCTGTCAACATTGAAGTTGCTGTTTAGTGGATAAGTGAGTGTGCTGGATCTTGTGTATTGTATGTATTGTATAATTTGGCCCCCAGCAGAACCCCATTTATGCATGTTTAGGTGAGTACAGCCTCCCCGGTTTCATATACACACAGACACATACTGAAACACACACACAGACATACTGACACACATGTAAACAGGGCCGCCACCAGAAATGTTGGGTCCCCTGACAAAGCACGAGGTCTGGCCCCCCACCAACCCCCGGCCCGTCCATGAGTCCGTCCACAGGACGCCTACCTAGTCCCCAGATAATGATGCAGGACTGAATGTGGTGTGTATAGTGGAAGTGAATTAGAATGTGTGTAATGGATGTAGTGTTTGTGTGTATTAGATACTGTTTGTGCAGTGAATGCAGAGTGTGTGTTTGTGTAGCAGATGCAGTGTGTATAGTGAATGCAGAGTGTTTGAGTAATGGATGTAGTGTGTGTTTGTGCGGTGGATGTAGTTTTTGTGTGTACTAGATGCAATGTGTTTAGTGGATGCAGTGTCTGTAGTGTGTGTATTAGATGCAGCGTCTCTATATAGTGAATGTTTAAATGTGTGGTGGTTGTAGTGTGTGTACTGTGAATACAGGATGTTTGTGTAGTGGATGCAGTGTGTATAGTTAATGCAGACTGTGTGTGTCAGTGGAGTGTTAACCCATGGCAACGCTCTAACGGCCACACGTCTCGCGGGAGTTAGAGACAGGGAAATTCTGTAAAGTGCTCCTGCAGTCCGGTGGGCCCCCTCTGCAAATACAGGGAGCTGGGGGCCCACGGCTGCACATATATATAGCGATAATAGCTATATATATGTGCAGAGAGTAATTGTGGGGCCCAGTCATGGTTGTCACCCCCTGATGGCGGCCCTGCATGTAAAAACATTTTTTAAACCCACCCTCTAGTTTCCTACTTTTTGCTGGAGGGTGGCTTACCTGGGGTCCAGTGTGGTGCCTTGAGGCTGATGGGAGTGAGGAGCCCCCATCCTCACTGCTTTCTCCTCACTCCCGCTCTGCTCCTCCAGATCCCTCCCTCTCAGCTGCTTTCTTTATGGGAGGAAGTGACTCACAGCAGTCACTTCCTTCCATGTTGCCAAAAAGCAAGGGCCCAGTTATGCTGTTAAAGGGCCATAGCACCTGACCAGGCCGCTGCCGATAGAAGTCCACCGGGTGGCCCTAAGTACATGAGTGCGGGCCCCAAATAAATTGTTGAGGGCAGCGGGGCCCAGAGTGCAGCTTCCTTGGGACCCCCAGTCTTGGCTTAAGTGAGTGATGTATCAGCAGAGTACGCAGACATGTCCCAACATTAGACATAACTAACCATAACATAAACGTAGCGTGAGTGTAGGCATGAGATGAAGATACAGAAAGGATTTATGTGCAAGATGTCACTCGTGTTTAGGCTATAGGCTGAAATTAATATATTCATAGTGTGTATCTAGATGGGTTCTGATTGAGCAATATCATGAGGAAAAAATAAAAATTACAAACAAAACAAACCACTGAGACACAAATCCCTACAACATGGCTGTCCTGTGTGGTGGGAAACAAAGAGCTTGCTAGACATGTTAGGCAATGATATGTATCATACAAAATATACTTAAACATGCTAGTCCTTCACATTCCTACTACCCAACACAGGTACATGAAATGTACTTGCTGGTTTTACTTGTTACCATGGGATTGCCCCACTAGCCATGGGCGAGTGTAATTTCAGCACTGGTGAATAACTTTAAGGCCCAAAGGACTTCAAATTTTAAACTCTGCTTTAATCATTCTGACAGAGCAATTTGATGAATCCCCTATCTCACTCACATTTCACCTTATCGGTCTCATTTATTTAAAAAGGGCATTCACAGCACCAACACAAATTCTGACCTCATTAATGTTCTGTATAAACTTATAAAATCTAGTTTTCAATATATCTGTGATGTGAGAGCCCCTTTAGAAGGATTACACAGAGATACAACATTGCTCATATCAACACCATTTATCAGGGAACTCAGCACAGGATAACAGAAGAGATGGAGAGAAAAGAAAAGTAAAATGCTCAGTTGGCTCCCTGCCAAGCACTAGCTAACGGGAAACCAAGACATCATTGCAATTATGTGCAGTGTAAGGTAAATGTGTAAGCTCTTAAACCAGCAGTGGAAAGCGTTGGTGTTCCATGGACACTGTTAAAACAGACAGCCCTTCTATAGAACACAGTCTTCTGGTTTTTATTTCATGAATAGAGCCATATTAATGGATATAACAATGTAAATGTAAAATTGTTACAGTATTTCATTTGTCATTTCAATTTAAAAATTTTCAAGAAAAATAGAAATATTGGATTTTTTTGAGAAATTAAAAAGTATGTGTCTTTATAGAAAATGATTATCTGTACTCTGTCATGACCCTTGATTTATTTATTTTTTTTCCATTTTTTGCTATGTGCCTCTATTTAATGGAAAAAGGAAGTGGCTGCATCTTCTCTGTTGAAGACAACACTTCACTTGTGTAGGTAACAGCATTCTGTTTTCACGAGTTGTAAATGTGCTATAAAAGTCAGCTTAACACACGTGCAACTTTTTTTTTTTTTTTTTTTTTTTTTAAACACTATACCTGCTTTTATAGGGACAATATTTTTATTCCACAATTTCAGAGTGGAGGTAAGTTCAGTCTATTCGGAGTAATATGGTTCCTGTAGGATTAACCCAAAGAGGCAATTTGGCAGTGATATTCAAATAACCATATTCTTGTCGCGTGGGAAGCAGCTGTGTAATGTAACACTTTTTCTTACAAACAGTTCCTTTCCATAACATGGTTGTTGAAAATTCAATGCGTCGAGGGCCACCTTGTTCCATCCGATTTGTTATAGACACAGCCAAAGATATTGCAGAGAGAGGCTTTTCCCACAACTCAAAGTTGGAATCCTGTTGAAAGGACGGTAGAAATAGCAATGTCAAAAGCATAACAGTTAATAATGCATATTTGCGTATGCTGTATAGTGAAACAGTGTGTCTCAAAATAAAAAAAATAATTCCCTAAGGAATGTTAAAAAATACACTATAGTAACCAAAACAACTCTCTTAATGAAGCAGTAATGGTATATAGATCATGCCCCTGCAGTCTCACTGCCGTTTAGGAGTTAAATCACTTTGTTTATAGAACCCTAGTCACATGTGACTTGCATAGCCTTCCTAAACATTTCCTGTAAAGAATCATAATGTTCACACTTCCTTTATTGCAAATTCTGTTTAATTTAGGATTTCTAATCTCCTACTACTCGGTAAATAGCTTGCTAGACCCTGCAGGAGCCTCCAGTGTGTTCAATTTGCAGAGCAGAAAAAAAAATAAAAAAATAATAAAGTACGTTACATCAAATTGAAAATGAAAACTTTTTTTTTTCATGCCGACTGGGTCAAATCACAGTCAGGGGAGGTGTGGCTAGGGCTACATAAACAGAAACCAATTAGATTTAACTCCTAAATGGCAGAATTGTGTACTGAAACAGGGGCATGATCTATACACCAAAACAGCTTCATTAAAGGTCCACTATAGTGCCAGGAAAACATACTCGTTTTCCTGGCACTATAGTGCCCTGAGGGTGCCCCCACCCTCAGGGACACCTCCCGCCCGGCTCTGGAAGGGGGAACGGGTTAAAAACTTACCTTTTTCCAGCGCTGGGCGGAGAGCTCTCCTCCTCCGTTCCTCCTCCTGGGCTGAATGCGCACGCGCGGCAAGAGCTGCGCGCGCATTCAGCCCGTCGCATAGGAAAGCATTTACAATGCTTTCCTATGGACGCTTGCGTGCTCTCACTGTGAAAATCACAGTGAGAAGCATGCAAGTGCCTCTAGTGGCTGTCAATGAGACAGCCACTAGAGGATTAGGGGGAAGGCTTAACCCATTCATAAACATAGCAGTTTCTCTGAAACTGCTATGTTTATTAAAAAATGGGTTAACCCTAGAAGGACCTGGTCCTTTAAGCTAAAAGTTGGTGACCTTAGTGTCCCTTTAAATGGGTACTGGTTTTTAATTTTCAGAATTGTGTTGACTGAAAAATATTACTATAGAATTTAATGGGAAGTTGCTATAGTATCAGAAATAAAGTTATTTCCATTCAGAAATTCAGTTCCAAACATTTTAGGTTTGTTTTTCCTTTAATACCGTGAGAATTCTGTATCCTTGAGCGCCAAGGGGGTCTTGATTAATCGCAATTACTTCTTTGTTCTGTAGAAGAGCTTTTGATTCAGCACTAATATCTCGGAGGTCATTGGACATTAACAGAGGGGCAGCCATGATGCACCACAAAGCCATCTGTGTTACCTGCTGGTCCCAGCTCAAACCGAAGTTACCGATGACAAGCTGGGAACAGAGTAAAGAA